TAGCTATGGGCCACCCCAGGGTGACAACTCCCAGGTACTTTCAGCTCTGTACATGGGGTATCTTAGGGGCATATGCTTTAGAAACCTAATGTTAAGAGTCTAGGAAGTTGTGGTAATGAGCTGTTAGAAAAGAAACATGCAGAGGCTGGAGGTTGTGTATGTGGAATGACAAGGAGGAATCTAAGAGTCCAACAGCATAAACATCATATTATAAAACCACACAGTAGAACTGGTGTGAGGGCGCACGCCTTTAATCCCAGCACTCAGGAGGCAGAGGCAAGCGGATCTCTGAGTTTGAGGCCAGCCTGGGCTACTGAGTGAGTTCCAGGACAGCTAGGTGCTGTTACACAGAGAGACCCTGTCTTAAAAAACAAAAAACAGAAACAAAACAAAGAGAGAGAGAGAGAGAGAGAGAGAGAGAGAGAGAGAGAGAGAGAGAGAACTGGTGTGGTGGTTAAAAGTGCGGTACAATGACCACATGTGCTCTTAGCAGGAACACTATTTTCTCTTACCTGAGGCAGTGCTGTGACATGCTGCATTCTTGCTTGGGAAGCTTCTGTGAACAACCAGGGATGTTCGGATATTGGAAGTTAATCCCTGACCACAGTACTGCATTCCACTAGCTCCTCCACCCATGCTCTGCCCAGTCCTAGTGGTCATCATGGTTTCCGTCATCAGTTACTATGCACTCATCCCCTTCCTCTGACAGTCCAGCTAAGTGTTCTGATAGAAGAGAGAAGAGACTAAGTGCATCCCCACTAGACAATGTGATTGGTTCCCTCTGACCTGAGAAAATGCCATCCATTTAACCAATCTGTCAGCTGGGGTGGTGATTCAGACAGGTCACCTTCTATAATAGTTGTACTTCTATTTATAGAACAAACTGATTAATGCTCACGGTCAGCCCTGATTCGTGTGGCCCTGTGTGAATTCACAATGTCGCTGCAGCCTGCTACTCATCCCTCTGGTGGCAAGTGGCATGTTCTCTCAATACCTTCATTTTCTGCCCTTGCTGCCTGGAGGGATGAGGCCGAATATGAGTTCTCATCTGGAGGCCAGAAGAGGTGGACCCAGCCCCGGTCTAAGGTGGCAGTGCCCTCAACCTGCTCACTGCCCCGTATTGAACTCTATCCCCTATCCATGTGCAGACAGTGTTTTGAAGGTAGAGTTTTTAGGAAGTAATTGAGATTAAGAGAGCTGACATGAGAGGATCAGAAGTGGTCAGAAACACAGAGGTACATGAGTTAAAAAAAAAAAAAAAGATGCTGGGGGAGGAGCTACAGGACGAATCAGGGGTAGCAGGGGTGGGAAGATGGGGGAGGAAAATCTCTGAAACACACTTGTTTTGAAAATGTCATAATGAGAACTAGCCCCTTGTATGCTAATTTTAAAAACAAAAAAATTATACAAAAAGGCTAAGCATGTCACAGTAGTAGGATCTCAATCTAATAGCAAGAGTGGCCTTGTGAGAAGGTACATGCACCGGGTGTGTATGGTGGTTCATGTCTGTAATCCCAGCACTCAAAGGGTAGAGGTCGTGGGGCAGTCTGTGGTAGCAAGTGAGACCCTGCCCCCCAAAGATGAAAAACCAAAGACCCACAAAACTGCTTCTGGCTCTTTGCGTCTGAGTGGAGGAGAAGGAAGTTGGAGCAAGCTTCGCTCACAATACTTTCTGACACTAATACGTGTTGTCATCTCAAGTTAATTTAAATCAGTGCTTAGTACTAACCCTTCGTACACTGTCTGGAGTAAGCCTGGATTTGCCTTGTGACCACTCAGCTCCCAGAAAACGAGAGCAATGATTAGAGAGCAGCAAGCAAACACAACCAAAGACACTCATCAAATGTGGGCCATGACAGACTTGCACTTACAACTGACACAATTGGAAATGAAATTCCAGAAATGTATTCTAAGTGCTGAGGCTGTTTTAATGTATCTGCACAGATTCCTAGCCCCTCTGCAGCTGAGAGAGAGAGAGAGAGAGAGAGAGAGAGAGAGAGAGAGAGAGAGAGAGAGAGCACCCACATGAGCGTATATGTACATGTGTGCTCATGCATGCAGAGGCCAGGGGACAACATCAGGTGTCATTTCTCAAGATCTGTCTACCTTTTATTTCTTCTCTTCTCTTTCATTGCTCTGGAACTCACCAAATAGGTACTAGGCTGGCATGCCAGCAAGTTTCACATCTGGCTCTTCCTAAAGTGAGGTTCTGGAGGTCAAACTCAGGCCCTTCCTTGTGCTTCCAGGGCACTTTACTGCCTGATCCATCTCTCTAGCCCCTCTACCAAGGAGATTTTGATTTCACAACTTTTCGTTGAGTTTGAATTCATGTTTACATGATTAGAAGCAAACAAACACTTTTGTCCAGGTAGGCTTCAAAGTGGGCAGAACGTCCAGTCAATGGGACATTTGAGATTTAAGCTGGGAAAGAGAAAGATAAATGTGGACTGATTTACTCCCAAGATCTCAGATGATGTCACCTTCTGGTCCACTGGGCCCATCACCAGTATCTTAGAAAGGTGGAGAAGTCCCTAAAGCCGGTGAATCTCCACACCAGCAGTAGTGAACCACTTTGTGGGGTATAAATTGCGGTGATTGGCATGTTAGCAAATGTTACCAGTGCCATTATGAGTCCAACGGAGGTTCCGCTGAGGAAAAGTCAAGGTGAAGAGGAAGGGCTGAGAGTCTCCCCTGAGCATCTCCAACTTGGCCAGGAGTAGTGTGCAAATTTGAACAAACCCTGTGTCTGTCCACTCCCTCAGTTGTGACCACCTTATCTCTAGGTTTTTCTACACCTCTGACTCGGACTTTGCTCCCAGATTCTGCATTTGCATTCTTTATTCCACCCCCTAGCTTTCCATAGCATTTGGAAGGACTCTTTCCTGCTTGGCTCTTCTAAAACCCAAACATGATACTACAAGCTTTGACCAGTCTGCAGGGTCAACCCAGAAGCCACTTCTTGCCTAAATGTTACTTGTTCACCATGGTCTGAGTCACCAGTTCTGAACCTTCTACCTGCAGCTAGAGGATGGAGAAACACTGGCTTAGGCCACTCCCTGTGAAAAGAGGATGCAGTTACGTCAGAGCCAACTGAGCAGGTGACTGTGAAAGCCTGCAGCTCAGTTCCCAGGATACAGCAGCTGAGTTCCAAGTTGAATTCCTTCCCAGATGGCATGTCCTTACTTTGAAACAGAGCTGGCGGGGACTTGTGCCCTCCTAGTAATTAAGGTTAATGGGTATTCCCCATCTGGAGGGTAGCATGGGGGAATCTACCTCTTTGAGGCCACATTCCTGGCACTTGCCCCTGGACCAGGAGATACTGATAATATTCCCCTGGGGTGAATCTCCAAGATCTAGGGCCAGACAAAACAGGAGAGGGTCACAAGGTGAGTCTGCTGAGGTCTGACCCTGCAATGTACAAACTATCTGATACTAACCTGAGGCCACTTGCCTAGAACTTCAGTGGGCTCTTGAAAAACCAGAGAACTCAGCTCTGCTCTGCAACCCAGGAGCAGAAAGCTTAGCATTTTCTTTCTCTCAGAAAGCCCCTCTGTGGCCATGTGGAGACCATGCTAGCTGCAGGACCTGAAGTTTAGGGAGGGGTGACAGAATCCTGGGCTTGCCCCAAGTGCCACTGTGATATCACTCTGAGACCAAAAAACGTCTGTTCCCTGCCTGCCAGTCTCTTCATAAATGAAATTCTCCATTTATTAAAACAAAAACAAAAACAAAAAAAATAGTATACTTTTATAAAGAGGCCCAGAGTGATGGCTGCTCAGCCTGATGATCTGAGATTAGTCACAAACTCACATGGTGGAGAGAACAAACTCCCACACCTCTGACCTCCACCATACATGTGCCATGGAATGTGTATGAGTATACACACTCACACAGAAAGTGTAATAAAAAAGAAAAAGAAGAAGGAGGAGGAGGAGGAGGAGGAGGAGGAGGAGG